ATAATTACACAAATATATATATTTCAAAGTATGTATATATATATTAAGTATATGTATACTTAATATATAAAGATATAGATATATTTCCAAGTATACATAAAGTATTACAACAATAACTAGGTAAAAACACCAAGCAACACTGAATGAACAAAGACCAAAACTATTCTTTCTATTACTTGCCATCTAGTTATAATAAAATAAATGCCCCAGTAAAACACTGTAAAGTTTGACATAAACCTCATCTTTCCATTTTAAAAGCTCAGTACAAAAAAGTGGATGATATGCTTTAGTAAAATTAGAAGTTTTTTCTCACATATTTAAATATATATAAATGGGAATGATTTAGCTCCCTGTAAATATCTACCATCTGCTGTTATTCAACTAACTCTTTTTCCGTCTGTTACATTATAGTATGGTACATAAGTTTTTGAAATACATATCTAGTAGGTCAGCATTACTAATGATTTTGTATAAAAAGCACTTTTCTGCCAACATTTTTAATTCCTTTTTTATTTTTCCTTTTTAGTCTAATCTGTCTGACAACCAATGTAATTTCCACATCTTGCTTCTACTTGGCTACTCTCTGTCTCTCCTAAATCAGGGCAAGAATAGACTAAGAACTATTGTTCTTTGGCTTCTAGAGAATAATACACTTTAGAACACAGGGGACCATCCTATTTGTCTAAATAGTATATGTCCGATCTGTTAGTCAATGTTTGCTCTAAAGCAAGGTCTCACAATGAAGTGGACTTAATAGAATACATTTCGAATACCATGATCTTAGAGACCAGTTCTAAGTTCAAGACCAGATCTTGCTAAGAAACATACTTCAAAAAATCCTACTTTTCTCCTAATGCTGTCTTTTTTGTAAGTTTATAAATGCATCCTCAGAGAAGACCAAACATAATCTGATAAGAGCTTTAACAAGAGCTTATGTTTTACTGAATTTTAAAAATCTTTCCCATAAATACCACATAGAGCATTTCTTTAGCTATTATTTCTAAATATTTTAGTACATATTTCATAGAAAACTTTTTTTCTCTTTCCCTGAAAGAAAATTTTTCTATTCTACAAAGGGCTGTACTCAGATTTTTGACATTTAAGTAGCAACTCTGAAAGACCCAATCCCTATATTAAATGATGCCACATGTATTCTCTGATATCTGAACACCTATATGATGTAGTTTTGAACTTTCAGTAAATTAGGTAACTTGATCCTATTAACTAATGTAAAGGAAAGATAAACTTCTTGATAGGCTGCTTTCCTGGTAGTAAGCAGCCAGTCCTTCCCTCAGCTGGTCCATCTTAGCTAAGAAGTGGTGGTTGGGGCATGGGATCAGACTTGGACCACAAGTGTTAGGAAATCCCTGACTCACTGCTCAAAGTTTGTCTCCCCTCAAGCCAGTGACCAGAAGTTCAGAAATGGTTGCACCATGTAGGAAAATCCTACCCTTCCCAGGAAGGCTGTACTCCATTCCTGAGGCTCTTTCTCACCCTTGGCCAACAAACCCAGAGCTTCGAGACAAGAGTGCAGGACACACTGAGCTTTTAGGTGTGCTCCAAGTTACGGGACTCCCATCCCAAGCCCCCATGCTTGTGGATGGCCTACCATAACTACTACAGTGAGTCAGAGAGCCAACTCTGAATTAGAAGCCACGGAGACCTCTCTGTTGTCCAGACTGGAGCCTACTACATCATTTTTCCACTGACTTCTCACACACGTAAGGGTCAAATAGAAAATTAATTTGTAAATATCAAAACAGACTTGGTGGCCAGAAGCATCAATTGCATATATTGGGGAAATAAAACTTAGGGTTAAATAAGGTATTTATTAATTTTTTTTTTAATTTTGTAATTACCTTGTCATCCTGAAAATCACAAGCCAGCAAGCACAAAGAACAAATGGAGAAAACAATAAGCCCTTAGTTCCATAAATAAACCCATCAATGAGCACCATCATAACAGAGCAAAGCTAACTGTAAAATAAACCCATGAGTTGTCTCTCCTAAAACCAACTCTGTAAATAAATTAGTATTCATGGAACTGGCATGAGGTGGACATTAGCATATACATATGTGATAGTTCTCACTTCTCAGGAAAAACTGCTTGAAATCCTATTTGAGTTGTTTTGGTTTTTCTAATTGTAGGGCATTTGTGAGTATGTGAGAAAATGACCCTCCTGTTAATGTGTAGGGGTGAAATTCTTATCCTAGGTCTGTGAGAGTTATGGTAATGCTCTGATAGGAGGTCATTTGTCCAAGTGAAGCCTCCCAGAATACTTGGGGGTGAAGCAGATAAACTAGACATGGCTGGGCTGGATTATCACCTAGCTCACTGGATGTCACTCACTACTGCCCTGCAAAGGAGTTGTGAAATGAGTCTCTGCAACTGGAAACTGAGTGCGACAGCCAGGGGTTTGAAAAGTCTTTATCTGTGTCACAGGCATTTTTCTAAACAAAGAAGAAGCTGCTGCCATGTGTAGGCTGGGAATTGGAGAGCAGGGGCCTGAGAGTTGGAGACAGGGCCATCCCATTAGGGGCTAGAGAGTAGTTTTGAGCTGGGTAAGTGAGGATGTGTGATACCACAACTATGTGCTCTGTTAGCTAGGTTGTTTTCATGTCCCTTGGTTCATTTTTCTTTTCCTTTCCCTTAACTTTAGCTAAAGTTTCTTGTTAGAATACCACTTTGTCACCAAAGAACTAGAGAGAGGAGTTGTGATTTTGGACTCTGCTCCAGCTAGTGTGCAGAGACAGGCTTGTATCTCAAGGCCCAACCACAGTGGTAGTCATGGGAACCAAACTGACACAGAGAAGGTGAGACGTATAGGGCCAGGTCAAAGGAAAGATTCCTCTGCCAAGATCGTCTCATTTCAGACTGAATGGTTTGTGATTTGTTGTAAAATAAGAAAGCCCATTTCTTTATATAACTCTATTTATGGCTGGGATGTTTTTTCCCTCCCAAATTATTTAGTCACAAATATCTTGTTTTCAGAATTTGATATTTTCTGGATCAGTGTTGATCTCTCAGGTACAATCTGCCTTTCTTAAACCCAAATGTTATGTGCCAGAGTCAGTATTTTAACCACCATGCAGAACTACCATTACTCTGAGATCTTCCAGTTAATTTATCATATGGTATGTCATGCAGCTGGATGCTGGATTACTTGATTGTCTAATTCTTGGTAACATTTTGTTTGC